CCCCCCCCCCCCCCAGTTCAATGCTTTGCACAATGCACAGGCTTCCTGTGGACCGATGCGAGACACCTCAATATAGATGAACACTGATTCACTGTGTCTCGAAGAAGTTGTGTGGAGAGGCACATGAGATTAAGAGGAGGCTAGAAAAATGCTTGGAGGGATGCGTGCGTGGCTAGACGTTGATCATGCTGTCGCCCGAGTCGGTGCGGGCTTCTTCGATGCCGAGCATGGCGAGGATGGCGCGGCCTAGTTTGAGGCCGTCGTGGGGTTTCTTTGCATTGGCAAGCGAGCGCTCGCGCAGTTCGCCCGTGACGATGCCCATTTCGGTGCGAACCTCGATGATGTTCTCGACGATCTCGCGGTCGAATTCGGGATGGCCTTGGAAGGTGAGCACGTGCATGTTTCGCAATGGGTGTGGACCCGATGATGCAGTTTCCGAGTCTTCGATATCGAATGCCATGTATGCGGACGTTTGGGCCGTGGATGCAAGCGGTGGTGCTTCGGTGGGGTAGCGCAGGATAAGTGATTGGATGGGTGAGATGTCGGTGGAGGCTAGGTTCTCAAAACTCTCGCCACCAAAGTCCGGCGGAAGATCGATGACGTGATCCTTGTGCACCTGTTGAATGGCCATCTGGTCTCCTTCCGATGGTTCGTCGTAGCCAAGAAGGTATCGTCCCTGCTCGGTAAGCGTGCAAGAGGTGGTTCCCAATTCCCAGCCCTTGGGGTTGGCTTCAACGACACCGTCAAAGGCGCGCGAAAGGATCTGGTGACCATAGCAGATACCGATCAGACGCACGAGAGGATGGTTCTCTGCCGTTGCTCGCAGGAACGCCGCCAGCTTCTTGGTCCATTCCAGATCGAGATACGCCGACGAGGCGCTGCCGGTGATCATGACGGCGTCCCAAAGTCCATCGCCCAACTGACCCTCGTCTGGATACTCCATCTTGTTGACCACGTCGTAGCAGCGGATGTGCAGCTCGACGTGTGGCTGCCACGGATGGCGCTTGATCGTGTTGAGCGACTCCTGCAGGAAGCGCGGGTAGATCTTGGTGTAGTCGCCGCGAACCGCCACCACGGGCGGCGGCGGCGTGTCGGCAACGAGCAGTGCGATCGACACCACCTTCTTCTTCTTTTCCTGGTGCTGCTGGCTCATGTTGGCGAAGATCGCGGATGTGTACCGGGATGGCGAGTGTTCGATGGGTGGGGGGGAGGTACGTGGAGGTTGGAAAGGGAGGGCGCTTATCGGTCGGCGCCGGCCAATACAGGAGCCGCTCAGAGTCACATGCGGGCCTGCCGCATCGCACAAAAAAAGTGTTGATTGCCGGTCAGCTGCGCCTTTTTCTCTCGACTTCTTCCCTCGACTCGGCGCGACGTGAGCATGCCCGAGTTGAGCCGAGGCAAAATCTCCGCTCTATTTGCCGATCCAACACCAACAATCAACGGACGAGCTAGCATTCCCGGGGTATATACGAGGTATGGCGGGAATCGGACGCAGATCACCGTAGGATCCAACAGCTGCCACAGAACAGGCAGGTCTTGGCCGCGTTCAGTATATGGGTCTGCCAAGCGCTCTGGCCCGGCTGGCCTGGAACGAGAGACTTTGCCCAACAGGCGGTGCAGACGCGCACCTCTCGATCCGAGATGGTGGCGAGGCTCACCGAGCACATTGCTGTTGGCGCGGCGAGTCAATAAAAGCGTGCAAAAGGTCATGGTCAGTTCTCAGCTGGCGTTTGGGCCCCTCAGGATAAAGTCGAGACGGTACTTACGCCAGACGTGACCGTTTTGGCACTTGGCCCAGCCAAAGTCGTTCTGGTGTTCGTCCCAGCGCATGGTGAGCTGGGTTTGGCAGGCGGCACAGATCTCTTCTGTCACCACGATCTGCTGCTCTTCTTGCGCTTCGACCGAAGCTGCGGGTAGCATGCGGGCGGCCACCGTGAGTCGCGCGAGTAGCTTGTGGTCCTCTTCGCTTGGTTGCGCTGAGGAAGACAGTTGCGCGGTGAGGTCGCGCACTTGTCTTTGCAGCCAGTCACCCAGAACTCTGCCTTTATGATGCTTGCGCAGAGCATCGAGCGCGGACGGTGGATGTGCGGATTGCTCGCTCAAGCGGCAGGTTAGTATGAAGAGCAGGCACCCCTGCCTGTGCCGACCCTCTGCAAGTCTCGGCTCTGGATCCGTGCCGTTATTGGATGTTTGCAGTGAACTTTGCCATCGCTGCTGAATGGCAGCCTGGAGGCTGGTGCGATATACGTCTGGGTCCGACGAGGTTGCGAGAAGAGCCAGAACTGTACGCGCAAGGAGGTAAGGCGGAAATGAGCGCGATTGCGGTTGGATGCAGGCGCCGAGCGCCTCGTCGATCGCTTGTTCGGGCGTCGCGGCACTGTTGTGGACCAGCTCGAGCTGGTACCGGAGTGTGTCAGAAACATTATACCCGAGAAAGGCGACGCGTTCGTCTGTACGGATGGCACCGATGAGCGAAGACGAGGCGAGGCTCGAGCCCGAGTCGGACCGGTAGGCGAGGAAAGCTTGGTGGAAGTCGTGCTTGCGCTGAAGGCTCTCGGTGAGCGGGGGATATCCCAGCAAAGTGGATGCGTAGACTGGTAGCAGCGGGATGGGCTGCGTTTCGGTCGGCGTGACCGTGAGCGATGGAATGCGATACTTGCGCAGGTCTTGCAGAACTACCACTGCAAGGAATGCGGGGTCCAGGGATGCCTCGATGGCTACGACGGGCGAGTAAGGGTCGTCGTCACCAGCCACGTCAGTGACCAGCGCAAATGCAGTGGTATCGTCGGACTGGACGTCGTAGATGTAGATGGAGCCGATCGTAGCGTAGAGGAGGCAATGCTTGGACCAATGCCAGGCTGTCACCATGCAATGGCCTGAACGGACGGACGGCGATTCGGCGAGCTGGAGGACGGCGTGATCCTCGAGAGCGTAGAAATCGCACAGCCCGATGCCGCCGGCGTCTTGAAAGGCGATTCTGGCTTGAGCATCAGCTTCGAGAGCGGCAGCTTGCACGCTCAAGTTGATTTGCTCGATGGCTGTGTTGCTGACGGCCGTGGCGGTGAGAAAGGTGCAATGGCCAGTGGAAGCGTGGCACTCCCAGACGGCGAGGTGACCGGATCGAGTGCCGGCAATGATGTAAGTGGACAGGGCCAGCAGAGGTGCTGATGAGGGCAAATCAATGAAAGCGGCACAGAGCACCTCGGTTGCCATCTGCTTCTTTCGCAGTAGTGCTCGTGAAGGGGTGAAGATGGCCCGGTCGCCGGCGGCGTGGGACGAGGCAGAGCTTGACTTGGGGAGATCGACTTGGGCAAGACCCGCCACTGGCTGAAGATCGACGGCATGCAGTAGGCGCCATTCACCAGTCCAGGCATTGCGAGGGGCGCCGAGCACCAACAGATCGAGTTCCGAGGTGGTGGCGAGGATGAGGCAGCTTCCATGCGGGCCCATGCCGGGTTTGGACCAGGTGGCGGAGGTCCATTGGAGGTTGAGAAAGCGAGGGTCGACGGCGGAATGGTCTGCTTCGAGGATGATCCTGCTGCGAAGGCTGTCTTCGTTTTCGAGGAACGTCTGAACGTTGATCTGGACGAGCGAGTGAGGGAAGCGACCCTGCCAGCGAGGGTGGCATTCGACGTCGTGAGCGCGGCTCTGAGGCACGAGAGCGGGGTTCAAGGGGCTGAGAGGAGAGAGAACGACGATGCTGTCCTCTGTGACCACGAGTGCCTGCCCGAGATCGGACCATTCCAGGTTGCCAATCCGCGATGAGCCGGATGAGAGCGGGATGGAGCAGGTGCGGATCCTGTGGCTGTCGTCGTCCGTCGACCGCCGCCGGGCGCCTGCTGAAGAGCCGTTCGGATGATCCGGCATGGCGAGTACCTTCAAGATAGCATGTTTGTCAGCGCTGCGTGTGGGATGAGATGGAGGTGGCATGTCAACCGCAAGATTTGGCTGCTCTGTCTTGGAATGGCAGCTGCCCGGCCGATTCTCGGCAGCCTTCGAGTAAAGTTGGCTTCGGATGTCACCGACGTGTTGGTCTGTGGGGGTTTTTTTTTCGGAGGCGTCCCGACGCGTCTGCTGGTCTGCTGGGGTGCAGTGCCCAACTCCACCTTTAGAGATCCCCTGACTGAGTGAGTGCATCTCTCTCGCCTTGCCGAGGCCGCTCTCACTCTCTCGCTCTCCCAGTCAGAGGCGCACGCACAGCCTTCCTCATCGTCACGGCAGCCGCCGCATCGTTTGTCACCGTCATCACCACCATACTGCTCGCTGTTCGGATCATCCGCTGGACTGGCCGAGGGCAGGCGGTATGACCGACCCGTTGGCTGCATCTTCTTCGCCGCTTCGCCCGCGCCCGAGCCCGAGCCCGAGCCAATCCGTCTTTACGGCAGCTCAAAGCACCAGCACCAACGACCCCATCAGGTAAGCCCTTGCCGTAGTCCGCTTGGCAGTATCGAATGTACTAGTGCTGAACCACATCTGCGCCTTTGCTGTCGCTGCGAACAGCTCAAGATGGGCTTCGCTCGTCGGACGAGGCGTGACTCCCGCCATCGAATTGCTAAGGCAGCGTGGCATAGAGGGCAAGATCGCGTCGCAAGATGATGCCTCGCTTCGCTGGATCCAGTGGAAGCTCTTCCTCACCGAACACATCTCGAGCATCCCATCCTCCTGGCACGCTGTCTTGCAGCGAGACCGCGATGCGTACAACGAGCTACGCTCGCGTCTCCTCCGTGCTCCCGACGGCAATTATCCTCCGGAAGTGGGCTTCGACGGACGCCATACCACTCTAGAATTCGCCCTCACAGGATCAACCTCTTCGCAGAAGAGACACACACCCGCTGTAACACACGACCTCTCAGTCAACAATCCGCTCAGCCTTGACGACTCGAATCCTTGGAAGACGTACTACTCCACGCTCGAGACCAGAAGGGTCATCCTACAAGACGTCGAACGCACCTTCCCAGATCTGCCCCTCTTCCGTCAAGTCCCCGTCCAGCAATCCCTCACCAACATTCTCTTCCTCTGGGCCCTCCAAAACGAAGACGTCGGCTACCGTCAAGGCATGCACGAGCTCGCGGCCGTGCTCTGGAAAGTCCGCAGCGACGGCGCCGTCGACAGCCGTCGGGCCGCCGCAACGCAAGCCTCGAGGCTCTCGACACAGGCCACCGACGATGCTCCCTTCGACCATGCCCTAGCCGATGTCTTCGTCGAGCACGACGTCTACGCCCTCTTTGCTGCTCTCATGCAAAGCGCCGAGAGCTGGTACGCATGGCGCGAAAGCTCCGGGTCTTCCCCTCCAACATCGCCATCCGCCAATTCGCTAGCACCTGCGAATGCGCGCCAGTCTCCGGAAACCGCACGCAGACCCTTGCCGATCGTCGTCAAGTGCGAGTACATCCTCGACCTGCTACGTCGCCTCGATCCGGCACTCGCGCAACACCTCGAGAGCCTCGGCATCGAGCCGCAGATCTTTTGTCTCCGCTGGATCCGCATGATCTTTACGCGCGAGTTCGGCCTGGACGATGCCATCGCCATCTGGGACGGCCTCTTTGCCTCCGGTCGCTCGCTCGCGCTCATCGATTACGTCTGCATCGCCATGCTCCTTCGCATCCGCAACCAGCTGCTCGCAGGCGACCATACCTCCGCATTGCAAAGCCTCCTCCGCTATCCGCCAGAGGCACAAGCACAGCCCTCGCTCCTCATCCAACAGGCCATCTTCATGCAGAAGAGTATCGATCGACCCGGCACCGGCGTCGCCGTCGTCATGCAGAACCGTGACGTGCTCGGCATCCCCGTGCAATCGATGCCCGCGCCCGATGAGGCCGTCCCATCCAACTCGAGCCCGGCCCGAGCGCAAAGACTCGGCGGCCCAAAGTTCGCGACAGTCGGACGCGCTGCCTCCGGACCGGCCAATCGCGTGTCGCCGTGGTCCCGTCTCGAGCAGGACCAAAGCCCGCGAGGCGGTACACCAGCACACCACGCCAGTCCGGATGCTAGACGCTGGCAGCCACCGGCTGCGGCCGGTGATCCTCTGGGCGCCTTGCCACAGTCTAGCAGCAGCGTCGACGCCAACGGCGCTCGCGCTTTCGGCATCAATCCAGCAGCCTACGTGCCCGAGGGCATCAGCGACTTTGCCAAGGGCTGGTATGAGCGTGCCGAGCTTCCACAGTCGCTCAATAGCGCGCTCGTCAACGTCTCCAGAAGCGTCGCCGCCGCGGCGGCAGCGGGCGTGGCAGGCGCGTACCGCGGCAACAAGCCAGAAACGTCCGGTTTCCCGTCCGGATTCGATCAGGCGTTCTCGAGCCAAGCTGCATTGCGCACCACAGGCTCAGCTGCCACCGTCGGCCATGCAGCTTCAGAGAAAAAGTCTCGCCCGGGGCTGTCCGTCATGGAGGCCGCCGAGCAGGCCGAGTCAGTCCCAGCAAGCACCGTGCGAGCTTCGCCGTCTGTATCGATGCGGTCCAAAGACGTAGCCGAGGAGGCCTCGGATCCACTGGCCAAGCTCACTGCTGCCAACAAGGCGATTGGCTCGGCGCTGTCCGTGTGCATCCAGGTGCTTGAGCAGAGCTGGCTAGATCGGTCCGCCGCTCCTCAACCGGACGAGCTGGAGCAGAACGACATCAACACGCTCATGAGCTTCACCGCGCTCAAGCACATCCGCGATGTGCTTGGCGGCACGGCGGCCGAATTCGATCCCGCCACGCTGCCGGTTGCCACCGCCTCGAAGCGACCGGTCTCGCAGCCTCAAAGTGCCGACCAAGCCGCGCCAAGACCTGTACCCGCCGCCGACGTACCGGCGCCGGCGCCGATAGACACACAGCCACCAGCCGCGTCGCACGACGTCACCATCCCGCCAACCGTGCCACCTCAAAAAACGGCGCTGCCGATGTCTCTGGGCGAGTACGCGCGGTACGGGCGGCAGATGATCCTGCCGGACTTTGGGCTGGACGGTCAGCTGCGTCTGCGGCGGGCCAAGGTGCTCGTAGTCGGCGCGGGCGGTCTTGGCTGCCCAGCCATCCAGTACCTGGCAGCCGCGGGTGTCGGTCGCATCTCGATCCTCGACCACGACGTCGTGGAGCCGTCGAACCTTGCGCGCCAGATCCTGCACAGCGAGCACACGGTCGGCATGGCCAAAGTCGTCTCGGCTGCCCAGGCGGCGCAGCGGATCAACCCGCACATCACCGCGCTTCCGCTCCAGTATGCCTTGACCGCGGCGAACGCACGCGAGCTCATGCGCGGCCAGGATCTTGTGCTCGACTGCACCGACAATCCGCTGACGCGCTACCTCGTCTCGGACGCCGCAGTGCTCGAGGGCGTCCAAGTCGTCTCGGGCGCTGCGCAGGGATACGATGGCCAGCTTGTGGTGCTGCACAAGCGCATCAAACCCGAGTTCGCCGGGCCCAAGGCGACAGCAGGCACGGACGCGCGCGGGCCGTGTTACCGCTGCCTGTTCCCCGAAGCGCCGCGACCGGACGAGGTGACCAACTGCGAGGACGGTGGTGTGCTCGGCGGCGTCACGGGGCTCGTGGGCACAATGCAGGCGCTCGAAGCGACCAAGATACTCGCAGGAATTGGCGAGGATACGCCGCCAATGCTCACGCTCGTGGCGCCCATGACGGGCACGCCGTTCCGCAGCGTCAAGATTCGACCGCGCCGCATTGCTACCTGCCGCGCCTGCGGCGATCCGGCCCAAGTCGCCGAGACCATGATTACGGATCTCGAGCAGGAGGACTACGCGTCGTTCTGCGGGCTGAACGCGGTCCCTATACAGGGAGACCAGCTGCCGAGAATCGCAGTGTCGGGAATGCATCCACGCGCGCTCGTGGTTGATGTACGTCCGAAGGTCGAGTTTGGCATTACGCGCCTCGACGGATCACTCAACGTACCCATCCAACAGCTGCTCAGGGACCCACAGAGCGCGTGGGACACGATCACCCACGAAAAGGACAGGACAAAAGCAAAAGAGGTGCTGGTGGTGTGCAAGAAGGGCAACGACTCCCAACTCGCCGTGCGCTCCCTGCTCCAGCTCCAACGTGAGCTCCGAGCGGAGAAGGACACGCCCGCCGAGACAAGTCCGTCGCATCCACTCGACCTCTCCGCGCACTCTGGAGCACAGGCAGAAGCGAAGCGCGAGCCACACGCGGAGCTCAAAGTGTCGGACCTCATCGGCGGACTGCGTGCTTACGCTGCTGCCAATCCAGGATTTCCGGTGTACTAGCGAGCCGCACTACGAATGACAGCGCATGTCAGCTGATCATGTTGAATCTTGCGTGGCTGTGTGGTCGGACAGTGTTGATTGAGGCAGAGGCGGGACTGAGATGAGCACCGTTGTGGTGCGGCGGGATGAGCGCGACCTCTGCTCACAACCGTGTCGAACGATGCAGATTGGTCGACAGACGTCGCTACACAAGAGCATCCGCACACTCGTCTGTCATTTTCGAGCTGCGCCGTGAACCTCTAGGTTCAGGCACAGAGCGCAGCTGCATGTACGAGTCGGCAGCTTCATAAGACGGCTGCTCTACAATTCCACCGAGTCGAGTCTGTTGTGAGCGCGTGTTGTCACATTGATTGCGCCAGCGACACACCGCAAGACAGCGGAAGCCTGGTCTCGCATCACGCCGTGACTTTTGGCCGATTTCCCGTCCTCGTCCGAGCGGAATGCTACAATGTCTTTCTTGACTCTTGACGGTGCACTCGTTGTCGAAGCAGCCAATGGAGTCAGGCGACGTGTCGATCGCTCACTCAAAGCAGACAAAGCGGCCCGAGAGGGGTTGGGGTTGCTTCAACAAAGTCGTTGCTTCTCAGTCCCAGATCCGTGCGCAGTCCCAACTGTGCCGTTTGAGATGCCGCTTTCCGCACTTTCTGCCGCACCCTCCGCACTTTCCACACCTTCAGCAGGCTGATCTACTCCTTTAAATGCGTATCGACTTGGGTTCTACATCCTGCTCGACCACCACCACCTCCTAAGAACACCGATCTTCATCAGCATCGTCCCGAACTCTCCAAGCTTGATACCATCGACAAGATCTCCCGAGCGAGAATACGCGTTCACCATGGTCGACCAGCACATGATGCCCTGGGACAGGCTCAGCTGGCCAGAGCCGACTACGGAGGCTGAACTGAACGCGCAAATGGCGCTGAGAATCTTCCTCTTGGGCTGGTCCCAATCTCCCAACGACCGCGACTTTGACCGGCTGTGGAGGTTCACCAAGGTGGTTATCCAGATACTTTGGACAGCACAGCAGCTTCCAGGAACGGTGAGTGACGACCAAGCCAGCAGCTACAGCTTCGAACGCGGACACGTGTGCCAACACTGACATGTATTGCCTTTGGTAGTGGGAAGATGATCTCGAGTAGGCCACACGACCTGCCTCCGCGTCTTTACTCGTAGCAGCTTTTCCACCACTGCTCCTGCCCATCTTTGCGGTGCTGGACTGTGCAAAGCCGACGAGGTGTGACTTGCATCGCTGCCAGTATCGTAGCGACTTGACCAGATGCGTTCCAATCGCTGTAGCCCCTCTTTGAACATTTTCGCGATGCTTCAGGCAGAAACCTAGCCACATTTCAGACGCATGCGTGCATGACGTACAGCGAGAGCGATCAGTGAGACTGGCGATTGGCAGGTACGACTTTGATGTGATTTCGGGGCGCAAAGAAGAGCGTCGACGTCTTCTCTTTCGCCCGTGGAGTGGTCAAGCAGGTAAAGGTAGACGATGCGCATGCGTTGGAAATCGTCGTGTGTCTGCGGACAAGTCTTGAGTTGCCACAGATAGGAAGCGGCGTCTTTTTTTTTCTTCTTTCTTTGCGCTGCTCGGATCAATACTGCAAGCTGGTGGGGCCTTTGGCGCGATCAAGAACGACTGGCGCTGCTACGTATCGCATCCGCAGGGACGCAGATCTACTACTTTTGGACCGCTCTGCCCCGTAAGCGACGGTCTAGAAAGAGACACTCAAGGCTGAGTCCAGATGGAAAAAGCGCCACCTGGTCCAACGATACGCAGAG